TAGATATTTACAATTGTTAGATCTTCTTGTTGGATAGACCCTGTAAGAATGATATAGTGTCCTTTTGTGTCTCTAACTACAGTCTTTAGTTTAAAATCTGTCTGAATTAAGAATTGCTATCCCAGCTTTCTTTTGAGGTCCGTTGGCATGGAAGATGGATCTCCATCCCTTCACTTTCAGTCTGGATGTATTTTTAGGTTCAAAATGAGTCTCTTGTAGACAGCATATGGATGGGTCCTGTCTTTTTATCCAATCTGCAACCCTGTGCCATTTTATGGGAGCATTTAGGCCATTCATATTGAGAGTGATTATAGAAAGATATGCATTTATTGTCATCATGTTGCCTGTGAAGACCTTGTTTTTATAGATTGTCCCTGTAAATTTCTGTTCTATATCACTCTTGGGGTCTTTCTCCTTTTATAGAACCCCCCTTATTTCTTCCGGGGCTGGCTTAGTGGTCACATATTCTTTCAGTTTCTGCCAGTCTTGGAAGCTCTGCATCTCTCCATCCATTCTAAATGAAAGCCTTGCCAGATAAAGTATTCTTGGCCGCATGTTCTTCTCATTTAGTACCCTGAATATGTCTTGCCAGGCTTTTCTGGCTTGCCAGGTCTCTGTGGATAGGTCTGATGTTTTTCTGATGTTCCTCCCTCTGTACATAAGTAATCTCTTCCCCCTAACTGCCCTTAAGATGGTTTCCTTGGTTCTAAGATTTGCGAGTTTTACTATTGCATGCCGGGGTATTGGCCTGTTTTCCTTGATCTTGGGAGGGGTCCTCTCTGCCTCTAGGACACAGATGTTTGTTTCATTCCCCAAATTAGGGAAGTTCTCAGCTACAATTTGCTCAAATATATCTTCTAGTCTCTCTCTCTCTCCACCCCCTTAGGGATCCTAATAATTCTGACAATGCAACGTTTCATGGTGTCACTTATTTCTCTGATTCTATTTTCATGGATTCTGAGTTGTTTTTCCCTGACCTCCTCTTTTCCCTTCTTGTCTATTAACTGGTCTTTAGATCACTAATTCATTCTTCTGCCTTGCTTACCCTAGCTGTTAGATTATCTAGATTAGATTGGATCTCATTGATAGCATTTTTAAATTCTGCCAATTCAGCTTTCATTTCTGCCCTTAGAGACTCTATGTTGCCATTAATCAATTTCTCCATTCTAGCTATTGTCTTCACAATTGCTAGCCTGAATTTCATCTCCAACATCTTGGTTAGATCTGTATCCATTATCTGTGGCATAAGTCATAGTCTCTGAGTCTCTCCTATTTTGGGGGTTCCTCCTCCTAGTCATTCTGTTGATGGGTAGTTGAGGGAATGTATAGAGTCCAAATTATTGACCACAACCCAAGCAAGATGCACCTGTTTTCTAGGGACCTTAGGGTTGCTGGCCTCTTGTTTCCCTAGCCTGTCTTCTGGGGAAGGGGCCCGCCATGCTGTTACTCAGGTAACCCTGTTTGGGCAAAGTTGCCCTGCCCCATGTGGCATGAGATGGGCTCAGTGAAAACCGGTCTTTTGTGGCTTCTGTTCTCTGGTGGTTTTCCCTGGCGGTTTTCCATGTCTCTTCTGAAAGAGCAGAAGAGATCATTTCCAACACTCACCTCAGAGCAGAGATCGCAGTCTGCTCTTCAGTGAGCTCTCCAGGCCACACTATCTCCGTTTCTGTCTGTGCTGCTATAAACTGCAGGGTCTTGAGTTGTGCACCCCTCCACAGCACTCCCAGTCCTCACCTCCAGGTCAGGGCACATCTCTGCCCTTTGTGCTTCTAAAACCATCAGCCACCCCCAGTTTGCACATGCAGCCCCACTGCTCTGGGTTTCCATCTGGGGGGCTGCCCTAAAGTCCTTTCCCTGTCGCTACCAGTCTGCAAGTCTGTGCCCGGTCCCCAGGACGGGAGGCTATCGCTCACCGGTGGTGTAGGATCCCAACAGGTCGACTCCCTCCCCCTTGTTTATCCTCCGATATCTGCCTGCAGAATCATGGCTCCCCACTTCATACTTCGAAACCAAACACCTGTGATATTCTGTTTGTAGAGATCCAGATCTATCTTCTTACATCTCAGGCTGATTTCGTGGGTGTTCAGAGTGGTCTGATAAATATCCAGCTCAATTTCAAGGATGGTTGGAATAGGGTCCCCTACTCCTCTGTCATCTTTTCCCACAGTACTGTATGTATAAAAAAGTCTGCATATAAGTGGACATATGCAGTTCAAACCCATGGTGTTCAAGTTTCAACTGTACCATGAACAATTATATGCCAACAAATTCAACAACTTAGAAGAAATGGATAAATTCCTAGAAAGATACAACCTACCAAGATTGAATCATGATAAAATAGAATATCTGAACAGACCGGTTACTAGTAAGAAGATTGAATCGGTAATCAAAAATCTCCCCAACAAACAAAAGGCCAGAACCAGATAGCTTCACTGGTGAAGTCTACCAAAATTCAAAGAAGAATTAATACCATCCTTCTCAAGCTCTCCAAAACATAGAAGTGGAGGGAACATTTCCAAACTCATTTTATAAGGCCAGCATTACCCTGATATCAAAATCAGACACAGAAACCACAAGAAAAGAGAACTATAGTCCAATACCCCTGATGAACACAGATGTAGAAATTCTCAATAAAATATTAACTGAATTCAACACTACATTAAAAATATCATACACCATGGGATTTATTCCAGGGATGCAAGGATGGTTCAGCATCCACAAATCAATAAATGTGATACACCACATTAATGAAATGAAAGATAAAAATCATGATAATCTCAATAGATGCAGGACAAGCATTTGAGAAAATTCAACAACCATTCCTGTGTTAACAACTATAACCAAGACTTTTCACTGAACATTATGTACTAGGCAGCTTTCCAAGGGCTTTATGTACATCATTTTTAAAAATATTCACAAATCCTATTGTATAGTTGAAGAAATTACTAATTAGACTATGTACGTGCAGAGGATCATACAGTTAATATGCAATGAATCTGTGCCTTTTCAATCTCCAAATCCATGCCTGTAACCCCACTGATCTATGACCTTTCCTGGATAAATCTTAATTTATTCTGATCAATAAGAATTGTTCCACTGACGTTCAAGGCACTTACCCACAAACAGCCTGGCTTTTTCTCTGCTCAGTATGTTGCTTTCTCTAGTAAATAGGCTTCTGTTAATAGGAAATGATTGGTTTCCCATGATACAGAGAAAGTCGTTGTCCAAGATAGTAGCAGAGGTCAGTTACACAGTGTCATACTTCTCAAATCTAACTGGCCATTTCCCCACTCAGTGAATGGCTTTAAGCTGACTTGCCACACCATTAACTGCTGAGATAGCACTACCTAGGAAGTCAACAAGGAGCTGACATTGGTTGTTTCACCTGCATTTGTGATATATTGATGACCTTTCTCCCTCTTGGCACTGTCAAACTTCACTAGAGCCAATCTCAGATTTTTCTTGCTCCTTACGGCAAGTCACTGAAATCAATACCAGACAATATGGTCTTTCCCTTCTTGATGACAATAAAAGAGTGACTGAATCACATGCCCAGGCTTTATAGTAGTAAAGGGCAGAAACATACATAAAAGACTTTTACACAAAAAGCTTTCTTGGGAGTCTTCGATTAAGGGGTAGCAGTTCTTATATTCCTCCACCAGACTGACTCAACCCTTTCACATGCAGCTGCACAGAAGGAGCAGATAAGGAAACCCTGAAGAGATCTGAAACTGTCTAGAAGCCTATTGAGGATAACAAGGAGAATAGTAACAATAAACCAACACATATTGAGTGTTTACTGTTTTTCAGATACTGTTCTAAGAGCTTTATATTCATTGTCTCAGTTAATCCTCACAATCTTGTGAGATGGAGATACGTACCATTACCATGCTGATGTTATGGATAAGGAAACTGGGTCTTATAATCATTAGGAAGCATTTCCAAAATTCCTCAGTTATCTGTTATGCAGCTGGGATTAGAATTCAGGCTAACTATAGAACCTGGGGATTCAACTGCATTCTTATATTGATATGTGCAAAGCTCTTCTTCAGGTGACAATAATAGGAAATTGCTATTTTTGGTGTCTGCTACCATAAAACTGCATTGTCAATCCAAATGGTATTTTAGGGGAAATTACTCTTGAATAGAAACCTCACAAACATTCATATATTGGCCCATATGTTTATTAGCACTCTGAAGGAATCTGCCATAAATGCTATACTGTTCCTTGGGAGAAACTTTAGTTCCTTTGTTGGTGTTCACACTGTACCTGTACTGCTTTTAAGGGGACAGGGTTACTGGTTAGATTTCAAACTTGATATAAAGTAACTCTCCACCCAAAGAGTGTAATTCAGAATACTTGCCTCTAGGGAGTGACGCCTCATTATGTAGTACTGGCCAATTATTAGAAAGTCTGACAGTACCCGGCTTAAAATTACTCAGTTGAAAGAGAAAACTAGATCACACTTCTGTAACTATACAGACCTACCATTTGATCAGACAGGAAAGTTAAAGGAATAAAATACGTTTTCTGAAATGTTTTTCATTAACCTAAATGGTGTTTTTTACCTCCTTCTTAAAAACCATAAGGCATGGGACCAAAGGTCAGTAAGGAAAAAGGGTAGAACATTTTGATAGCACTTTTTTTCAAGATAAAGAAGATAAAAGTTATAGAAATAATTTATGCAAAATTAAATAATTTTTCTCAATTTAACACTTTGGGGGTGGGAAGTAAATAATTAAATTCACTGCAAGTTAAATGCTTCCTGGTAATTGATAATGGCAACTGAAAAGAAAAGGACTATTTTGATATTTAATGAATTTTAAGAAGGGCAATACCTACCGTAACCTATAATTCCAATCACACCCACCATGAAGACCCAGAAGAGGAATCCAGCTGTGAACCTCAGGAGTATCACAAACAACCAACTAAGGAGCATGGCGATAGTCAGGCCACTAGAGGAAAAAGCATACAACAGACAGGGGTCAAGAGTGTTAAACATAACATAAAGTTAACAGCAAGACAACATCTTCTATTCAAAATAATTCTCAGATTATTTTATTTTAGCTGGCTATAGAAATCTTTATAATATTAAAAAGTATAAACAATAGTTCCTATTAAGACTTTCATATGAAAGAGTAGGACCATCGGGAACTTCATACCGGAGTCAGTATTTGTGTACCTGAGTAAACAGAAGTTCAGTAGCAACCACAGTTCAAGGAAAAACACAATTCCTCCAACCTACCATTTTGGCCTATCTGCCACAGTTGCCATGCTGTATTTTTTTTCCCCTCCACACGTCTCACTAAGTGATAAATTATAAAACATATCCATGATACTAATAGAAGGAAACCCTATACAACAGAACTATCTACAAGTAAGGGAGCAGTCTTAGGGCAGAAAAGAAAAATAATTGCCCCACACAGTTCCTGAATCCATGATTTTGTAGTCATTATTATGGTCTAATTATCTTTAATAATTTGTGATGTCTGACATCACGACATCTATTTCAGATCCCCAGTGACCTGTAGGCCATTATATGGAGCCATGATAGAGCTTCTGTATCTCCTGGGCCATATGACTTTATCAAGCAGTCAGCAGCATGACTTTTTTTTTTTTTTTCCAAATTTTTTAATTAAAAAATTTTTTTTTTTAATTTAAAAAATTTTTTTAATACTAGAGATACTTCTCCCCCCAGCTCATATATCCAGGTTAAATCCATATTGGATTTTTCTAGGTAATTTCATTAAACAGAATTCATTAAGATTAGAAATTTGGATGACGCTTCCATTAAGAAATGATACCTCCGATGCTCTTTCAAGTTTCCAAACAGAAACATAGCCTGATACATTTATTGAGCTTATTGTCTCCAAGTATTATCTTTTAAAAAAAAATCTTAATAATTCCTGTCACTGGATAGATGACAGTATTGTATCAAAGTAACTTCTAAGGTCACATCCTTGCAGAGCCTATGCTTTCAACTCCAGAAGTCATTCCCTATTAACATCACAGATACTTTAATGCTTAAATATTCAATATGGTTGAAGGATTATTCTATGGCATAGTCCAAGAGGAATATTCAAAAAGGTCAGGGGGAAGAAAAGAAATATAGCTGTTTATTCTCTGTGTTTTTGATTCCTGTATAAAATTCTAACTGAATAAATAAAGTCAGGGCATATTAGTCTTTGGCTTTATATTTATGAGATAGATGGAGAACAGAAGAGTCAAAAATAAAGGGAGTGTTTATGTTCTAGTGGTGTTAGCAGTGCCTGGGTGGAGAGGGTTCAGTGTGTGTTGGGAGTGAGGTAAACAGGAAGGTCTATCATAATGCATACTTTTTCAGATAATAGTTAAAAAGCCAAAATAAAGAGGAAATGTACAAATTATCTAATGATATTTGAGTTTGACAATAGGGGAACCAGTTTAACTGTTGTCAAGTATAGACTACAATCTGTGCTATGGAGAGAGATCCTGAAATACTGATACACACGAAAATAGTTATTGCATTTAAGGCAAAACATCGAAATGAGTAAAATCTCAAAAAACACTATCTAGTTTTACAGCTATACAAACTAGTCACTGGTATTTTACACACAATTTTGACTTTATTAAGCATCATATAGTTAAATACATCTATCTTGTTCCCCTAGTGGTTTTATAACTGTTCCTTGAACCCACATTTTCTATGCATCTTCTATGGTCCAAGGACCACACTAGGAGTTACAAAAATAGAGATGAGTTAGACATAGTTACCATGGTAAAGAATTCATAGTTTATCATAGAAAAAGAGCCAGGTAAATAACATAAGGTTCTAGGTGCTATGTAGATGACAGGTATGTGTGTATGTATAGGTGTGTGTGTGTGTGTGTGTGCGTGCGCACGTGCACGCTTGTGCATACACGTGCATGTGGGTAGGAGGAGCACAGGGAAAAAGTAATTATATCTGGAGAAGTCAAGAAAGACTTCATAAATTACACAAAAGCTGATTTTATTTTTATTTTTTAAAGATTTTATTTATTTGAGAGAGAGAAGCAAAGAGAGAGAGAGAAAGCACACAAGTGGGAGAGAGTGGCAGAGGGACAGGGAGAGGCAGGCTCCCCACTGAGCAGGGAGCCTGATGTGGGCTGGATCCCAGGACCCCCGGGATCATGACCTGAGCTGAAGGCAGATGCTTCACTAACTGAGCCACCCAGGTGCCCCAAAAGTTGATTTTAAATAATGAGATGGAGTTGCCCAGGACACACCAAGGATGTGCCAGGAAAGAGAACAGAATGTGCAAAAACATGGGGGTTTGACACTCTAGGAATGGGTGTGTTATTTGATGTATAGGGTCAATATACAGAATATGTATGTAATATATGTAGAATATATGTAGAATATAGGGTCAATCAAGTAACATGGGTGGAGAAGAATGTGGGACACTAAATGGACCAGGTTGTAAAGGGCCTTGTAACTATCTGAAGAAGTTTTCTCTTTGCTCTTTGATCACTAGGGAACCATAGATGCTTTTAAGGCATAAGGTGATATAGAGCCAGATAGTAGCAATAGCCTTAAATATATCAAACACAGGTACCCACTCCAGTAGAGTGATTGCATTTTCCCTTACCTTTTCAGGAATGCAAACCTTATGGCTAAAAATTTTTAATCTCCTCCTCCTTTCATATATTTTTTCAGCTCTTCATAACTACAGTGACCTTTGGTGATGATAATAACAAACATTATGTGGAAAGGATGTGTTAAAAAATAAGAGGGAAGGACAAATGAGAAATCAGACCCAGAGAAATAAAACTGCATCCACTGTAACATAACAATAAGAAGCAAACGTACTACAGATGTTGTCCCTGCATGACTTGAAGTATATTTATACAAGTACTTTTATTGGGAATTTAATGAATAAAGTTCAAATTTACATTCTTATAACTTTTGTAACACTGGGTATATTTCCAAATATCTTTGCCCCATTTTTCAGCCACAGGAACTGAGTCAACCTTTTATTCACAAATATGAATGGGGAATTTTTTAAAAAGATTTATTTGAGAGAGAGAGAGAATCAGGAGCAGGGGGAAGGGTAGAAGGAGAAGCAGGCTCCCTGCTGAGCCGGGATCCTGATGCGGGGCTGGATCCCAGGACCCTGGGTCATGACCCAAGCCGAAGGCAGACGCTTAACCGACTGAGCCACCCAGGCACCCTGAATGGGGAATTTGAAGAAAGCGTTCTACAAGGATAAAATGGGGCTGGAGAAGAAACACCAATGTTTGCACTTACATGAGAATCCAATACCAAGTTGTTGCATAGTCTTCAAATACTTTCATTCCAATTGCCCTTGCATCAAGGATTTTATTGACACGACTGAATTCAAAGAAGGAAAAAATCAATTATTTTGACTACCACTAAAGAGAAATGTTCTTGTTATGATAAAAGGGGTTTGCAAGCTGCTGTTCAAAACATATTTTTAGAAACCATTTATCAAGAGGCACTCTTTCCCCAGCCATAACAGTATGTGAGATGTCATTTTGGTAGACTACAAAGGCCACTATAGCTACACAGAGAACATGGCTTTCAAGAATGGTGAACAGATCCCTTTTCAACGTGTGTGACATGTCCTCAATATTGCAGTAATCTCACTGTAAGAAATGAATTTAAATAAGATCAGTTTTTAGCTTACAAAATCCATAGCATCAAGAATGAACATCACCCTTAATTTCCTTTTCTAAACCTCTGACAGCTGTGTAGCAGGAAGGCACCATGGGGCACATACAGAAAAGTGCACAAATCATTAGTGTCCAGTTTGACGGATTATCAGAAGTGAATGCACTATGTAACTACAATATTGTTCTCCCTTTCCCCCTGTGCCCCAGTTACAACACCTCCTCCTTCCCCTAAGGTAACCACAATCCTGACTTCTGTGATAATAATTTCCTAGTTTTCTTTTTCAGTTTTACCACTTACATATGCATCGCAGGGTAATTTAATTTAGTTGTGCTTGGTTTTGAATTTTTCTATCAGTGGAACTGCACTTGTACTATTATTTTGTGATTTCTTTCACATAGCTTTATATTTGTGAAATCCATCCATGTTGCTATTACATTTTAAATATACAGGACCATTCTACTTGGACTGCTAAACTCAAGGAAGAGAAAAACATTTTTAGAATATCTTTTATGTTTCACTTTTAATTCAACAATTGAGCTACACAATGATACTCGGTGTTTGTGCACACATGTGAATGTACCCACCCAGAGAATTATATTTCCCAATAACCTGAAACATCACAATGTGTACACTAAGGAAACAGTAAATTGACTTCATTGTAGTTAGTACATAGAAACTGATATGGTCCTGAAACAGCATTACCAAGGTTGTCTCACCTTTCTTAAGGCCCTCTTCCCTTTAAGACATCTGGCAGTTTCATTATCTTAGTCAATTTTTTTGAATGGTGATTTAAAAAGCATCTTTTTATTGTGTTCATTCAACAAGTAAATTAAGGTCTTTCAATATGCTTACTGAGATCCCAGTTCTATACCTGTTGATAATCCACAGTGACATGTATATTTCATAACAATGCATAATTCTTCCTCTATAACCCTTAACCTAATGGAAGCTTTCGTTTTGTATATAGTAATAACATGCATCCAAACTGAAAATAAGAAGGTAAACAAACATACTTTGCAGCTGTCCTGAGTTCTACAGCATTTCTGGTCTTTCCACTTCCATCTTCAAATATTGTCTTATTTCCTACTGTCAAAGTGCCATTTTTAGTAGTGAAGTCAGGGAAACATCTCTGGAGAACTGTAAAAAAATAAAATTATGGTAAACATTTTTCTACTTCTTTCTATGTAACGTTTTCCCTTTAAGCTTTCTGTTATTTATAATTAGATTCTTGCTAGACAATGTATAAACATACTGCTCAACATGATAATTGCCCATTACTTGATGGTCAGAAGGTTTTCTGATGGTTCTAAGACACATGTAAAAAGCAAATATGATCACAATCTGAAGATACACTCTAAACTTGTTGATTATTTTACACATGGTATATTCATCACGTAGCCAATAAGTAAGATGCACAGCACAGGTGTTAAAAGAATAATACTGATAACATATCTCACATGGTAAAAACATTTTAATAAAAAGGCTACATTTATTGTATGACTGAGTTTACTTTTTTTTTTTAGGATTTTATTTATTTGAGAGAGAGAGAGAGCGCGCACACCGGCAGTGGGGAGGGGCAGAAAAAAGGGAGAAGCTGACTCCCCGCTGAGCAGAGAGCTCAATGAGGGGCTCGACCCCAGGACTCAGGGATCATGACCTAAACTGAAGACGGATGCTTAACCAACTGAGCCACCGAGGTGCTCTGAGTTTACTTTTTCTTTCCTTTTTTTTTTTTTT